GATAATTAAATATGATTCAATTTACTTAAACGTAAACCTAAATTAATGAATAAAAAAAAGTAATTTGTTCATAAAAATTAACATGCTAGGCATCGCATTCATTGCAGATTTTCTCGTAGTTTTTTTTTGCTGGAATTTTCATCTAATTTTTACATTTTTTACTCTTCGGACCAGCACCGTTTTTCACATTGCTTCGCTTTGCCCTGGTCATAGGTGTTGTAGGAGGACTGCTCTCTTCTTTGAGCTCCTCTTCATTTATTGCTTCTGGTTCTTGCTTACTTTCTTCGGATTCTTCCTCCTCTGTCACTTCCGCAATGGGTTCAACTTCTGCAGCGACAACTGCTTCTACTGGCAGTGTTTCTGCAGGAGTTTCCGTTTCCACTTTTGTTTCCGCCACAGGTTGATCTTCAGATGATTCTTCGGCCTCTTCTGCATCCGCAGCATGAGGATCATAAATATCTGAATTGAAAAAAATAAATTATAGTTAGTTTTTAACGAGAATCTAGAGTGTATCACAAACCATCCAACAAGTTTTTCATAGCTTCATCGTCTTTATTTTCATTTTCAGTAGCTTCTTCTTTCTCTTCCTTATCTTCTGTAGTTTCTTCGCTATTTGAATCTTCCTTCTTTTTCTTCTCATTTGCTGCGTTTTGGAATTTTGTTTTTGCAGCATCTACAAATGCATGGTAATGGGCAAATGACTTCATGTGCACCTAAGAAAAAAATATTATTAGTTATATACCACTAAGATTGTATGCGAAATGTCAAATACCTTTGATTCTTGCTCGGAAGGCATAAATAGTTTACAAATATCGCAGATGAAGCCAGTCGCGGGCTTCATGCTGGCCTTGCCAACACCCCTGTTGGGTCTGAAGACCGGAATGCGATTGAACAGATTGGTCATATCATCGTGAAGCTCCAACACGGGATTGTCATCTTCATTTTGGATGTTTTCATCCAACAAAGGCTCCGTATCGATCTCGGCTTGCACTCTCAACTTATATTCGCCCAAATCAACCGATTTCTCTTCCAATTGAGATTTTAACTTAAAAAGATGTTCAGGTACAAATTGATGGTCAACCCATTCCATCCTTGATGGGAATTCCAGGTTGCATCTGTGGCACTTAGGATGCAAGAAACGCTTCAAACGCTGATGTCCCTCAGTTTGCCTGTGAACGACAATCTTGCCCATGAATTTGAGATCGCACATGTTACAATGGCTCTCGGGCTCGTTCGAGTTGTTATGATGGTAACGGCGGGAACGTTGCATGCGCTCATACTCGATCATTTTACGCTCCTCGGATAATCTCATATTCTCTCGTAAAATGTTCACAGTTATTTGAAAACTTTCTTCCAAACTACTAATCATCTGTTTGTGAGCTTTACCGCCGATATGGTTCTGGAACGATTCCCCGTCCCACATGCTTTTATTGCAAACGAAGCAATGCAGTAAGCTATTGGGAAGTCCATCGAATTTAGTGGCCTTTCCTTCATGCTTGTCTTCATCAACATTATCATTGCTGATTCCAGCTGCAGCAATTGCTTCTGCCGGTTGGTCCTTTTCCTTATTCCTAAAAACAAGCATTAATGGATTAAGTAAAAGTCTAATAAACTTTTGTCAAAATATAACTTACTTTTCAATTGAAGCATTTTCAGCTTGCTTTTCACGTTTCTCGCGCTTATCGTTATTCTTCATTTTATTGTCCCGCTTTGGAGAATTCTTATTGTTGAAGTTCGGTCTGTTCTTATGTCCACCCCTTGCAGGGCCATTGTTGCGCCCTTCATTGCGCCAACCACCGCCACCGCCGCGGTTCTATATTTTCAAAGAACAAACATTATTAATCACAAACACTAAATATCATATTGAGAGTTTATAGAGTTAAGTAAGAGAGTGAAATAATTGTATATATATATTCCCTCGTCTAGTGGAAAATTAATGAAAACATAATCATAACTAGTTGTGTTTTTGGGACTTAAGACTGATTGATAAATAGAATGAATCAGAAATAGTGAAAGATTACAATTTGCCCAAAAACAAAACAAAACAACAGAGCAGAGAAAAATATACACAATGAAAAAGTAAATTATATATGTAAAAATAATTGAAATATTACCTTGTTGTAAGGTTCAGATCGTCTGAAATCTGGTCTACCGCGATTACTGAAGCGATTCTGGTTATTATATTGATCTTGATTATTAAAGAAGCCGGGGCTAGTATTCATGGTAAGTAAGGAGGGAGGCCCATCTGAAGACGGGACCTGTTGCTGTGTCGACTGTTGGATGAGGTTTGCAAGAGTGAGAGCGAGTTGACTGGTTGGAAAATTCGGGCCAGAATTCCCAGGCGCCACGCCACCTTGCCACGGGTTTATGTTAGATGAAGGGGCCCCAAAGTTACCGCCCCTATTCATACCACCCCCGTTGCCGCCGCCACCACGCTGCGGATTGTTTCCAAATCGTCGGTTCGCCATTTGGATGAGTGGTGGTGGTTTTTGGTTGTTACACACACAGAGGGAGATTTTTGACTGGTATTTTATTATCGAGAATAATAACCAACGAAAGGCAAGGCAATCGAGTTTTTTACTGATTACACTCAGAGGTCTTCAAACAGAAAAAAATACAAAAAAAATAAATATTAAATTGGAAACAGTCTCAAGTGTCTGCAAAATGATCATTAATAATGTAATAAAACAAATATATTCAGAAATATTGGAAATATCATCTCTTGTATATGCATCAAACAAAAGCAAAAATAATATATAACAATAATAATAACCATTAATCAGTTTAAATAGTGATTGATGACGCTTTCACTGATTATTAAGGGAACCAAACATTTATAAATCCTTCTTCAACAAAACAAGCATTAAAGATCAGTTGATTTGCTGTTGATTATGGCACAGCTTCCAAAAGTATATGAAATTCACAACAGAGATTATTAATTCATATAGTAGCAGAAATAAGTATTGCAAAAAAAATATATTTATATATAATATCGAATGACGAGACGGGAGACGCCATTTCAGTGTTGTACGCCGAAAAAGCGGCTCATGATAATCATTCGTTACGGCCGAATCGATGAAATTGAACCATTTCGATTGAGATTAACGAGTACATTATTGGATATCATATTTAACAAATGCCAGAGGTGAGGATCACTGGGTAAATAATACTAACACTTACCAAATAAAGTTACAAGTTGAAAATAATCCAAAGAGAAACACACATATGACGATCAGACGCGACGCTCCCCTTAAAACGGACAGCTGAGCTGAAGCAAATATAATGTGGGAGAGCCAAAGCCAACTTAACATGAACTTAGCCAAAGAATGACGGCGACGTTTCAGTGCTACCACTTACACGATACAATATAAATGGTTATTATCAGGACGTAACTAAATGGTAGAGGCTTTTCTAAGAGGGAAGAAGCAGGAGGAAGAGAAAAAAAGATATTGTTAATCATCTCATAAAAGAGTCATTAAACAAGAGAATCCATTAGTTCATCTTTAAAAAATCGTTTAACTCTTTTCAAATTACAAATATGTTATTTGCAAATATTCATTTAATTTGAATTTAAGGAACAACTTACGCTTCGTTACTTTATTTGATAATGACAATATAAAAATATATTAACAATTCAAACGAATCGATCTATTTTATCCAGACATATTATCTAACAGACACGACCTAGTTTATAAAAATAGGCATTACTTTATTTTATCAGAGTTTAATTTTGGAACTGGCTACTTCCAGCAAGTAAATTGATTATTTAGTTTCCTCATGTTTCATCCATCTTCTTGTATTTGTGATTAAGTTGTAATTGATGTACTTTTAACAATAAATTAACATTAATATATTCTCCTATATCTATTTTTCACTTTACTTTTGAATTTGAAAATTGTTACAATGTTGGCAGATCTGCGGTGTCTTGGAAAGTTTTGGGTTCTGGAAAGATCATTGCTGCATTCAGGTGTGTGTTCACGTTGTACAGCAGCACATTTGCTATTAAGTCGTCAGAAGTTTGCCGGAAATAATTTGGTAATCATACGCAATAGTTGTTCGTGAAGAGGTGACTTACAGATCGGCTGATTCTTATTTACTTGGAGCAACTAAAAACCGGCAAAATGTCAGATTGGGATACATACACAGTGTTGAAGAAGAGGGTCGCGAAAGGATCCACAATGAAGAGCGAGCAGGCGGTGAACGCAGCCAGAAGACAGGGGGCTCAAGTTGACACCCAGCAGAAATGTAAGGTCATTTTGTTTATATTCTACTGCATACGACATTTGTCCAACATCGACACGCATAACAAAACGAGAAGGCAATGTTTTTGCGAAACGTAATTGTTTTGTTGGAAATATGAATGAGCGCATATTTGATATGTCAAATCTGTTGGTAATGAATCCTTTGCAATTAATATGCATGTATTGATCTTAAATGACCTGATACTTTAATCACCCGGCATAGAACTGACAATAATGTTGCAATTTTTTCCAAAGGATAACCTTTTCTCTAACCTGAACCCCAACATATGATATAATATTGGTCCTTTGTGGGAGGTCCGAGTGAGCTTAGGTAAAAGATACATTGCAGTCTCAGTATGTTGACAGCCAATAAGACAAGTAGACTTTTGCGTTGCAAAAGATAAGTGTTTCAAATGAGACATTTGAAACATCATGTGTGTGTTTTAGGGGGTGCTGGCAGCAACAAGCAGCATGCTGCAACTAAAAACACAGCAAAATTGGATAGGGAGACAGAGGAGCTGCGCCACGAGTCCATTTCACTCGATATTGGAAAGCTGATCCAGCAAGGCAGACAGTCAAAAAATATGAGCCAGAAGGAGTTGGCCACGAAGATCAACGAGAAGCCGCAAGTCATCACCGATTACGAAGCAGGCCGCGGTATTCCGAATAACATAATCCTCGGAAAAATCGAACGGGCGATCGGTTTAAAACTGCGCGGTAAACGATAATGGCCAAAAATCCATGGTCGTCAATAAAATGACTACACTTAAGTGTATGACTTAATAATTGTTGGGGGATATTTCAACAACAACTAATCTTTGTCATTACGCTCTTTCTTTTTTTTTTAATAAAAACTTATTTACAGATATATTGGTACAATAGATATGTATGTAACTTTAATAGATTACTTTTTGTGCTTTATGAACGACTGTTTATTAATATTCTTGCAGTATATTAAAAATTGATCTAAAACGCTTTCCCTTTGTTTTAGTAAATGCATCTGATTTCTTTTTTGTGCGCGTATTGCTGCTGTTTACTTTTGAATCGATGCGCGATGTCAAACTAAGACGACACGGGTGTGAAGTTGGCTCTCCCATTGCTAATTTCAGGTGTGTGTTCATGTTCACCCCTAATACGATTTTCTTTTTTGCATGCCCAGAAACAAATATACGAATTAAACGTGTCTCGCAGAGGGCCCCTGTAATCCGAATTAGTATTGTTGACCTGAAACAGCTGACACCGGCGCGATGGCCGACTGGGACACGGTAACAGTGCTGAAGAAACGAGCCCCAAAGGCATCAACTATGAAAAGTGAGCAGGCAGTGAATGCAGCAAGAAGACAGGGGGCTCAAGTTGAGACCCAGCAGAAATGTAAGGTCACCCATCCTGTTTATATTCTGCCTGCTCCTTTCTGATACCCCCAAATCTCTAAGCAATTGATCTAAACAAATATACACACAGTTCCACTCATTGTTTACAAACATTACATTCTTCATGAACGTTGAGAGCACACTTTATGTCAACTATGCTATTATCTATTGTTTTCTTAAACATTCATAGTGCATCACATGTATTTACAACATTATGCAAGATTGCAATAATATTTACATATTTAAATACACAGTGACTCAAAAAGCTCAATACTCCAGTTAATAAATAATACAATTATATTCTATAATCTTAATTTATTCTTTCATTATCTCTAAGAACTATAGAATTTACACTTGAGATCTTTACATATATAGTTTTTAAACAATTTTGATTTGACTTTCATGCTTGCACTAGATGAGAATGAAATATATTTTCAATTTAAAATTTCATAATTTAACACGCAAAAATACAATCAATCAAATTTCGTTACGAAATTTCTTATGAAACATCGTTTTGCAGTTCTGCAGCAGGAATACTACTATAATTAATTGATTGATGAGCTTTACAGTCACTGTGTTTTACTAGATTTATATAATTAAGAAGTTTATTTGCAAGTGTAATAGATGTTGTGGATCAAGTAGAGAGTTTGGTGATGATGATGATGAATAACGTGGTTGAACTGAGGGGGAATGTTAAAGACAGGTATGTATGTTTCAGGGGGTGCTGGCAGCAACAAGCAACATGTTGCAACGAAAAACACTGCAAAATTGGATAGGGAGACGGAGGAGTTGCGACACGAGCCGATCTCCTTGGACGTTGGCAAACTGATTCAGCAAGGAAGACAGTCAAAGAATATGAGTCAGAAGGAGCTGGCTACGAAGATCAATGAGAAGCCGCAGGTTATCACCGATTACGAAGCGGGCCGCGGTATTCCGAATAACATAATCCTCGGTAAAATCGAGCGCGCGATCGGCTTAAAGCTTCGGGGCAAAGATCGCGGCAAACCGATCGCTCCCCCTGGGAGCAAAAAGTAGAGATCTCTCGGGGGGACGAAGTCATTCACCAAATCCTCTCTCTAATATGTACAATATTGTTTTTATTTTCAAAAACGAACACATTTCTCTTTTGGTGTATCGCCAGAAGAGAGAGATTACTTATTTATTCTTCGTTGTCCTCCGCCGTTTGTTTGAAACGGCGAGGGCAATACATGTGATGCATTTAAATATAGTTTGTTTATTACGCGAAAATGTTTATATATAAGTTTTGACCTGAAAGAGCGCTTTATAAGATGTTTCCGTTTATTTTAGTATTTTATATATATATTTATATTGTCGCCCATTCCAGATTTATTCGTTTTGATTCATATTTGACAAGAATAAATGTTTATAAGCACAACACAAGCATCGTAATGCTAAATTAGTATAAGTTACATTTAAGAAAATAATGTACATTATACAAAAAATCTTAGGATTAGATCAAAGATTAAATATAATATATTTAGACAGTTGGCAACACTATTCTCTTGTATTATATTACTTTCTATACTATATTCTAATAATAAATATATTTATATTTGCTTCAATTATTTTTAATTCAAGTATTCTTCATTTAAACATACTTTTTTTTCAATACTTTTCTAATTATATCGCTAATCCTTTTGACGTCTGCGTCAATCAAATGTCAAAAATCTCATAACCTATTTATTAATTTGAATATTTAGCAACAAACATAAGAATGTTGCGAAAGCTCCTGCAGGTGCAGCTGCGCCACAATTTAAATAAATTCTGCAACAACCCTAATTTAAGGCAGATCAGCTATGCCAAGCCAAAATCCAACAACGTTTCCAAGAAGATCCCCCTCTATGGTATGGCTCTTGGAATTGTTGCAGGCACAGGTTACTCAATTTACAAACTGAATGAACCAAGGGGTCATATTCTTAGTGAACAGATTGTAATTCCGATGATCAAAAATGCACCCAAGTACACCCCATCTAGATCTGTAAGTATAATTATTATTACTAGATTTAATGTTAATTTGTTGATATATTATTGATAACATATTATGTTTCTATTATATAATTTATGAATTTAAAAAATATATATTTAGATTGCTATACCAAGTGATAAAACTGGACTTAAATTAACCCTGTTCCAATACCAAACATGCCCCTTCTGTTGCAAAGTCAGGGCTTTCCTAGATTACCATGGTATATCATATGAAGTTGTGGAAGTTGATCCAGTCTTGAGGCAAGCCACCAAGTGGTCTACTTATAAGAAAGTGCCAATTCTACTAGCTGAAGTTGATGGTGGATATCAGGTGAGAAAATTGGAAAATTATATAGCAGTAAACATTAATTGATGCGTAGCCCTTAAATGATAGTACGATGATAATATCATCGCTTGCGACCTACTTGTATGAAGATCAATCGCTCAGAGACATAGTCCAGTATTATCCGTATTTACGGTACCAAGCAGAAGATGGTAGCGAGAAGAATGAAATTATGAACAGGTATTTCCTGATGTACAACCAAGAGAAGGTGAAGAACAGAACAAAAGAAGATATGAAGTAAGTGTTGACAAACTATGTAAAATGCACATTTTACGTTGGTTTGTTTTGTTTTAGTGAAGAGCGCAAGTGGAGGATGTGGGCTGACGATGTGCTGGTGCACGATTTGTCCCCTAATGTTTATAGAACCAAAGCTGAGGCGTTGCAAGCTTTTAACTGGTTTTCGGAGGTCGGTGATTGGGAGAGACAGTTTCCGTCCTGGGAAAGAAATTTAATTATTTATGTTGGATCTATGGCTATGTTGTTAATAGGAAAGCGACTCAAGAAAAGGTATAATCATAAATAATTCATTAAATGTTTCTTTTCTATTTATGTTATTGCAGGCATAACTTGAAGGATGATGTGAGGGAATCGCTCTACGATCACTGCGACGAATGGGTGACCGCCATCAGAAATAAGGGGACGGAATTCATGGGTGGCTCCGCCCCTAATCTGGCCGATCTGGCTGTCTACGGTGTGCTGTCAAGCATCGAAGGGTGCGATGCCTTCAAGGATCTGTCAAAGGAAACGGGTATAATGAAATGGTACGGATCCATGAAGGCGGCCGTCAAGAATCACGGCGGAAGTCAATTTGTTTAATTCGTTAAGTTATTATTGTAAATGTAATTATTATAATTATTGAAGACTGTTATTAGCTGATCAGTGCTTTTTGCTACGAGTTGTTAACAATAAATTCCTCCGCATGGGATCTGCTTGAAATTCAGTGAGAAACCTAGGTTGCCGATTTCGTTCAATTTGATGTCCACGTCGCTGTGTTTCTCTCTCTGATCAGTTACCACGGTCAAGACGAACGGTTTCGATGATGCTGAAAGCAGAAGGTATGATAAATTCGTACTTAATTTAGATTTGTGCGTATTAAAAAAACCGATGTGATTAATTTCGAGTTGAAGCAAAAATATACTGTTTACTAAGATATTCATTAGTACTTGTAACTGTGGCTGGGAAGGAATTTCCGCAAAATCTGTCTGGCGTGATATCACTTGAGACCGTCATGGGATTGGGTATGACAACAAAGTCGTTGTTGCACATGATGTTCGGTTGGACGTCACCACCTGGTGTGCTACCGCTAACAGCAAAAGACCCGTTAGAGGTAGGGCTCCACTCGATGGAACAATACCCCGGTGCCATTCTGATGCAGACCCCGTAATTCATGTCGGCCATCTCTCTGGTCCCAGGTAACATCAGCGGAGCAGTGCCCACTCCCAGCATGCTATACATCTCCGTTGTTGTGGTGCGTCCGTAGTTGAAACTCTTCACCGTCCCGGTGAGTCCAGTGTAATACATCAGGCAACCATCGGGTGCCGTCGTTGGGCAGTCGCAACCGATCTGAGCGACTTTGATGTACCATGCCCGAGATATTGCGTAGCTCTCGCTCGTGCTGATCGCTATGGTGATGTCATCCTCGTTGTAGAAACCCAGGTAGATGTGTTGCCCACTGTTCTCCCCGCAAATCGGTCGCACCAAAGACGCTCCTCCGGTTATTCTAAGCATATCGTAGACGCAATAGCCGCTCGCATTGGGAGGTGCCAAAGTTAGACTCAAGAAGTCAATGCGTACCTGAGGATTATAATTAATTGCAATGTTATCGTACGATCATTTCTGTACATTTTATATACCTGACAAATGTCCGGGTTACATTTCCTTATGGTAAATGTACACGTGGCTCCACCCAAGATCATCGTTGAAGGGAAGTTGGTATTTACGAAATAAGTATTGTTGTAGGAGGAAACGCTTCCGCATGTTCGTTGAACTTGTACAAACAATAGTGTCATTACGTTTCAGAAATGTATACATAGAGAGAGTTATATTGAATCAGTGGTTAAAGACCAATTTGCACTATACGTAATTTCAATGTGAAGTATTCCAATACAGTTATGTATTTACTTTTCCTTATTCATTTTTTGTTTTGAATTTTGAAAGAAAACGTTTCCCAAAAGAAAGTTTTTAAATTTTGTATTGCAACAAGTGAATTTTAATATTTTCGAGAATAAAAAAGGTTCTTAGGAATACTAGATCAGAATGTTAATTACTTATGCAACAGTGGCCAATTGTGCTTGCGCATAGCCCAGACCTGGTGCCGTTCAAGTCTCTGCATTGCCTTCGAGTGTAGCACGTTCCATCCAAAGAATCCAATCCGACGCAATACTTGTTCTCGAAGCGCACCACGCCAATACCGAACCCTGAAATTCGAATGGATTGGTTCAATTTACTACAACAGCAACTATTACTACTCTGCTTACACTTAGGAGCTCTGGAAGAGGGGGAGGTGGATGAATCGTAATTGTCGTCGTATTCAGAAATGAGATCTATGCCGAAGCAGTTCCACAGCAGGAAACCGAAAACGACGAGGCCGAAACGCATCTTGCGAATTGTTCAAGTGCAATGAACGCGACAGCGCCTCGCACCTAACTGTCTGCAAAAAAAAAATCTCGGGAGACGAGAACGGGAGTTTCGACTAATTGGTGAAATAAGCAGACACGCAAATTGACTAGAAAAGATTTATTTAAAACATTAAAAATGTGCTTGTGCATCGTGATTGCGAGTACTCGATGGAGAAACCTCTGTTTCCATTGTCGTTCATCTCGTCTGCATCCGTCACGGTGGTAAGCACAAACGGCTTGGATGATGCTGCAATTTAACAATATTTATATAGATGTATTTCTCGAAAAATTATAATTAATTACTTGTAACAGTGGGTAAAGCATTTCCGCAGTATCGATCCACACTGCTCATGTTCGAGCCCAACATCATCGAATTTGGTATTATAACGAAATCTGTTTTACATTTCATGTCCCCGGTATTGGATGTTCCTAAAACTCCGGGCTGCATGATTGTTTCCTCTGAAACGCTAAAAGCGTACGGATCGGATCCTTGGCTCCATGTTATGGAACAAAATCCTGGTTTAGGAGCCACGCAGATGCCGTAATTCGTGTTGGCCAATTGCCTCGTTCCAGGTTTAGCGTTTGTAGTCAGGCCGCTGCTGATGGTCGTTCCGTAATTGAAGCTGCTCACCGTTCCTGCGGCATCCGTGTAGTATTGTAGACAACCGGATGGAGCTGAATTACAAGATTAAAAAGTGGATTTATTTATTATTTGTTTTGGTAGGAGAAATCACCTCTGGATGGTGAATCGCATCCGATTTGTGCGACCTTGAAACGCCAGGTTCGCATTTCCGTGGAGCCGGCACCGGTCGTTATCAACATCCTGATATCCTGTTGACCGTTGAAATCTACGTAAACGTGATGCCCACTGTTTTGGCCGCAGATTTGCGGCACGTTTGTCGCCCCTCCGACGATGTTCAGAACGTCCACATTGCAGACACCGTTTCCGTCCGGTTGAGCCAGATTCAAGTTCAGGAAGTCGATGCGAATCTACAATTATGGATTGAGTAAAATAGAAGCAAAAATAGATGATTGAAAAATTTCAGTCTAACTTCTTATTAGATAAAGTTATTGTAGTATTATATAAATGTACTGTTATAATACTAGTGAATAACAGCAAGATTTATCAATAAGTATAAATTCTAGATGGTTTATAAGAGAAAGAAGTGTTAGGTAATGAATGGTTACTTGGCATATGTCGGGACTGCATCTTTGTATCGTGTAGGCGCATGCAGATGGTCCAGTCACGGTGTTTGGGAAGTTGTGGTTGACGAAGTATGTGTTGTTATCGGAGGACACCTCACCGCAATTCTTTTGCACTGAAAGTTCGAAGAAGTTATTAGTGTATTTGCTTAAGAAATAAACGGGGTGTTAATTACCCACGCAGCAGTAGCCGATGTGCGCAGCGCACAATCCGGATGGTACACCTCCGATGTCTCTGCATTGTCTTCGTGTGTAACACGTGCCGACGGCTCCATCGATCCCCTTGCACACGCTGTTCTCGAACCTTACCACTCCGACACCCCAAACTGCAATATATATAATAAGAATTGTTTCAGTTTCAAAATGCAATATTTCACATTTAGTTATTTTCTCAAAAACTATAATAGATGATTGAATCCAAAAGATGCA